CACACACACACACACACACACACACACTCTGTCTCTCTCTCTTCTCTCTCTCTCATCTCCAGGCTCTGCCACACAGTCCATTCTCAGCCACCAGGGGTGGGACACTCCTCAATTCCTAATAGACAGCAGGAGGGTGGGTAGCCCAGTCAGGGGCAGAGACGGGAGGAAAGGGGGTGCAGAGAGCAGGGGTGAGTGGGACCACCTGCGGTTAGGAGCACCTGACAGCTGCATGCAGAGTGGGATCCCCAGCCCAGGGTGGGCTCAGCTCCACTGCTCCCCTCCAAGGCTTTCGGAGTTGGGGCAGAGCATTGGGAAGGGTCTGGGAAGGCAGGGCCTCCCCCCCATACTAGTCCTCTTGGAGGGCTGGGGACTGGAGGGCAGGGCTGCAGGTGGGTGACGGGCAGGCTCAGCTCTGGGGCTCCTCAGGAGCCTCCCCACCCTCTTCCCCGCCGTTGTCGGCTGTCCAGAGGGTCAAGTTGTCTCGCAGCAGCTGCATGATGAGGGTGCTGTCTTTGTAGGAGTCCTCGTTGAGGGTGTGCAGTTCAGCCATGGCATCGTCAAAAGTGGTCTTGGCCAGCGTGATGGCTTCCTCGGGGCTGTTGGCAATCTCGTAGTGGAAGACGGAAAAGTTCAGGGCCAGGCCCAGACGGATGGGGTTGGTGGGCAGCATCTCCTTCTTGCTGATGTCCATGGCCTCCTGGTAGGCTGACCGGGCAGAGTCGATGATGCGCTTCTTGTTGTCACCAGTGGCCACCTCGGCTAGGTAGCGGTAGTAGTCGCCCTTCATCTTCAGATAGAAAACCCGGCTCTCCGCCTCTCCGGCCTCCTTGATAAGGTGGGAGTCCAGCAGGCCCAGCACGGTGTCGCACACACCCCGGAGCTCGGTCTCCACCTTCTCCCGGTACTCTCGCACCTCGGGGCCCTTCTCTTCCGAGCCTTCCTCGTTGCTCTTCTGCTCAATGCTGGACAGGACCCTCCAGGCAGCCCTCTGGCCGCCTACCACGTTCTTGTAGGCCACAGAGAGCAGGTTTCTTTCTTCACAGGAGAGCTCCTCACCCTTTTCCACGGCGCCCTTCATGAAGGCTGCCATGTCCTCATAGCGTTCAGCCTGCTCTGCCAGCTTGGCCTTCTGGATCAGACTGGCTCTCTCCATGGCTCTGGGGACAGACAGACTGGCGGCGAGTTAACTGGCTGCCTTGGGACCAATGCTGGACTCTGTGCCTCTCCGACTCTCGGTCTGCCTTTTGGCTGGGTGGCCTGGCCCAGGGTAGGGTGGGGAGGAGCAGGGGCGGGACTGGGGCCCAGGACCTGCCTCCTTCTCCTCTTCTCCCCACACCCTTTCCGGCTCTTCCTTAAAGGTAAAAGGGCTGGGATGTGTGAGTGAGTCATCAGGACAATCAGGAGAAATGTAGGTGTGGGCTCCACCAGGGCAGGTACCTATGGGGGCTCCAGGCTGCCTCCTGCCGTTCACGGTTGCAATGCAAGGGTACCCTCATTAGGAAGTGGCCTGGATTCCCCAATCAGATTCTCCTTCTCAGCACCCTTCTAGGGGTAAGAATGGCTTCAGCTACCTGGCTACTTCAGCCTAGACAGAGTCCAGCAAGCCAGGAGCAGCAGAATGTGGATCCTTCCTTGGTTCAGGCTATATAGCTCATGTTTCCATAGAATCATAGTTTCCCAAGCACTTTCAAATCCCTAATCTAACTTAATTCCCATTATGTCTATGTGCACAGGTCCATGGAGATGGGAATACTAAGTCTCAGAGAGGGGCAAAATCTGCCCAAGGTCACACAGCTACCAGCTCCCTATATTGCTTCCATCAACACCTTTCTTCCAGGCTTCTTCCTGAGTCTACCTAAACATCATTCCATCCCCTGGTCTCCATTCTCTCTCAAGGTCCCCTCTGAGCTCCCAGAATGCATATGTAGCAGCTTTCAGGTTGCCACTTAATGAAGAGTTTAACAAGTGGCCTCTGACGCTCCAGCCCAGCCTTTGTAATTAGTCACCCAGTAAGTTCCTTCTACACCTTCCCCATCACAGCACAATTTTCCCTTTCAAGTTGGTGGCCTGTTGCCACTTGTCTGAGGACTTACCCTCTGGCTCTCCATGCCAGGTCACCTGCCCCTTGAAGCTGCCTACTATCATGTATCAGCTGGGCTCACCAAGGGTGGGGGCCCAGCTGGTTGACTGTCCCATTTTCCTGTCTGACTCAGACTGCCTTCTGTCAGAGGCTGGGAAGCAGGCCACCAAGGTGCTCAGTCCAGTTTGATCCCCCTGGGGGGGAACGCTAGCAACCTGGGGAGAGACGGAGCTGAGGCAAGGGAGATGGCAGCAACACATATCATTTCGTTTTATGGGGCGGCAGTTCGAGCTGAGTGATGTCTCCCCCAAACCTGTCTTCCAGAAGTTTCCCTGTTCCTTCTCTTTGACCATGGCCCTATCTCTGACCCCTTGAAAGAGGCCTCAGAGATGGAGATTCCTCTGTTGCTAACCTTCTGTCGCTGCTAGTTGGCAGGGCGGGGGGGGGGTGTCCTGTCTTCAAGTTTCATCAAGAATCAACTAAGAGTGCTGGCTCTGGGCCCATGAGGGTGGCTTCCTGCTTTTCTACCCTGCCCTACCCAAAGCTCAGAATGGCTCAGAGATGATACTCCCCTCTGGGATCCAGCTAGTTTGATCCTTGACCTGGGACCATTTCACAGGCCTGTGTCTCCCCCAGCTCCCCTGAGTATCTGAGCACTTTCTTTGCCCACTGGAGGCCCAGAACTCTGAAGAACTGAAGTTGAGATCTGCCTCTCTGCCACAAGTAAGGACTTATGTGGGCTAATATTGAAGAGTTTAAAAGAAAGCAGACAGGATTTTAGGCCTGACATCCTGAAGGCTTTGCTCTAATCAGAGCACTGACAGAAAATGATGGAAAGTAGTTACATTAGAATACCACTTATAGAGAGTGTCTTTAGGTAGAGAGACTCCCTGACTTTTTTTTTCCCCATCATCTCCAACTTATTAATATGCCTTGTTTTCCATGAGACAGAGTAACCTGTATCTTTAGAATCAACTGCCTGAGTTCAGTTCTTACAAGTCGTGGTAACCTTGGCCAAGTGACAACCTCTGTAAGCCTCAGATCCTGTAGGTGTAAAATGAATGGTCACAGCCCCTCAGCAATGCCTCTTCTCTCTCCATCTAGGCCACTCCTCTGGTCTCAGCAGGCCCTGGGCCCTCAAGGACCTTCTTTTGCACTAGTCATCAACCTGGGCTTCCCCAAGTCCTGGGGGAAACCTAGGGATCCCAAGACAATGGGAGCCTGTTAGGCCTAGGAATTTCAGAGTTTCTCCTAAATTAAGGAGGAATTCTCTTCCCACCGCTTCAGCCAGGGGGCCTGGTTCATATCACAGGTTCCATGCCTTCAGCATACCCAAGCAGAGGAAAGGAAGCCCTCTCATCCCCCTTCTCCTCTTTTGAGGCTCCGGGATGAATCTGGGAGTCAGGCTGCCTGACACCTCCTGCCAGCTCTGGCCTGTTGAGCCTGACTCAGTTCCTGTCTGTTACCTCCTTTTGCCTCAGGCTTCCATTTCCCAAGTCCAGGAGCCCAGGCGGGCAGGAGGCAGCAGGCCCTGGCAGGGCACAAGGCTCCACATCAGCTGCCTGAGTCAGCAGGACAGGAGCTGGAGCTGCAGCCCAAGGGGGCCTTCCTCATCCTGCCTGCCACCTTCCCACCCTCCTGGAACATCCCCAGGCCCATATTCAACCAGTCCTTTCTTAGCTGGCTTTGAAGTAACAGGCTCTGAAGAGCTGTGCTAGAGAGAAAGCAGCAGCCAGTTGCTATCTATCTTCACCGAGAAAAAAGATGGGGTTTTCTGTTGGCAACTAGGGGGACTTTGGCTAGCTTCCAGAAAGACCTTCAAAGTAAATTTGTCTGTTTTTGAAATGATCAAATTAAACCAGTGATCAGAGAAGGCTCTAGTACCTTCTCTTCTTGTTTAGTTGTGAATAAGAGTCCAGTTATGTAGGTAAGAGCTCTCTCTACTAGTTGCTTTCAGGAATGGATCCTAGATTACTTTTAAGTGATTCGACCATTCTCTTCAAGGTGCTGTGGCTCAGAGTACCCCACATCTCCAGTCTGGTCTAAGAGATAGTGTGGAATTTATGGAGAGAGACTGGAATGAGGTCAGGGTGTTAGACTGCATTCCAGCTCTGTTATAAGGCCTTAGCAGGTCCGTTCCTGCCCCTGGGCTTCAACTTTTCCCTCAGTTCAAGGAGGGAACCACCTCCAAACCCCCGGAAGACTTTAGGGCTTCTCTAAGATTTCATCCATTCCTGGGGTATGCAGAAGGGTTAGCAGTTAGGGCAGAGACCAGGTTCCAAACCTGGATTTGCTGCTCTGTTAGCTGGATGACCTTAGGCAGCTCCTGCACCTTCCTGGAGTCTCAATTCCCTCACCTGTAAAAAGGCTGACATCAGCTAGGCGCGGGTGGTATGCACCTATAATCCTAACTACTTGGAAGGCTAAGGCAGGTGGATCGAAAAGTTTGAGGCCAGGGCTGGGGATGTGGCTCAAGCGGTAGCGTGCTTGGTTTGGTTTGGTTGGGGCCGGTTTCGATCGTCAGCACCACATACCAACAAAGATGTTGTGTCCGCCGAGAACTAAAACAATAAAACATAAAAAATTCTCTCTCTCTCTCTCTCTCTCTCTCCTCTCTCACTCTCTCTAAAAAAAAAAAAAAAAAAAAAGAAAAGTTTGAGGCCAGCCTTAGCAACTTAGTGAGATCCTGTCTCAAAATGAAAAGTAAAATAAGGACTGGGGATGTAACTCAGTGGTAAAACATCCCTGGGTTCCACCCCTAGTTCCAAAGATAAACAAAACAAAGGCTGACATCTTCTTGGGTTAAGGTGAGAAAATGGACCTGGAACTTGGCAAGCCCTTGCTAAATGGCAGCAGTAATTAGATTTTTATTTAATCTTTTTGGTACTGAGGATTGAACCCAGGAGCGCTTTACCACAAAGCTCCACCGAGAGCCCTTATTTTACTTTTTATTTTGACATAGGGCCTTGATAAGTTGCAGCTGAGGCTGGCCTTGAACTTGTGATCCTCCTCCTGCCTCAGCCTCTGGAGTTGCTGGGATTACAGGCCTGTGCCACCACACCTGGTTTTTAGTTAATTAGTTTTTAGCTCCTGGTACAGTGTGCATGCCTGTGTGTGTCTCAATGTGGGATGGCAGCTGGGGAGAGGAAGGTTTCATGAGACTGTTACCCTGGGCTGGGCTCAGTTCCGGGGGTGTGGATCGCAGATTGGAGTTAACCCCTGTGTTGGTCAGGGCTGGGCCGTTCAGAGGTCAGCTAAAGCTCCAAGGTCTCTGGAATTGTGATGAGTTCTGGGGGGGCCAGTGCAGAGGCTATAGGCCACTTTCCCACTTCCCTCCTGGTTGTGTTGTGTTCCCTTTAACTCTCCTTAGCAGAGGTGACATGTTGGAGCAAAGCTGGGAGTGAGGGTCAGCCATGTTTGCATACCACCATGGACCCGGCTGCAGACCCCAAAGTAAAAAGTGGCACCAGTCAAGGGTACAGCAAGAAGAGGGGAATCTTTATTTTGGTTATAAAAGGTCGCAGACAAGCAGCCCCCAGCCCTGGGCTCAGCTGATTTTCCCACACCTGGCCTGGTTTCCTTTAGGTCTTCTAAGGAACATGGCTCCGTGCAGAGCCAGCTCTATCCCTCAGCGCCTGGGGCAAAGGATACAGGCTCCTTGCACCCTACCTACTGGGGGAGGGGATGGGGCCGTGGGAACAGTGTCAATCTGGTTGTGCTTAGAACAGTCACCAAACTTGTTCAGCAGCGTCATCAACACCCCAGACGGCTCCTTAAGAAACCTGCTAGGCTTGACTATGGCTATGCCTGATTTGGGGGGTGAGGGCTGTAAGGCAAGATTCCTGAAGAGTCTTGACACTTCACAAATCTGGGGAAGGGGAAGGAAGGGAGGAGGGTGGGAGAGTTTCAGCATCATGTTACAGGTATTGTGCTGACAGCTGCATTATGGCTTCCTACACTCTGGCCAGCATGGAGTGGGGGTGGGGCAAAGAGGCCAACCCCAGTCCCCTCTTGAGGGCCCTAGAGAGCACACACTGTAGGGCAGGCGGGGGCAGAGCCTATAGGCACAGATGGTGGCAGATGGGCCACAGGTTAGGCAGGTGGAGGTGCCGGGTGCCTGGCTCCCCCCAGGCCACTCCTGGAGAGGCAGAGAGCAGCGGTCCTCAGGAGGTCCTTAAGCCCCTGCACACACTGGAGATCCCAGGCAGGATGGCAAAGAAGGAGAAGAGAGAGGGTTAGCAGGGGATGGGAGGAGAGAGGTGACCTAAGGGGCCCACAGTGGGGATAGGGTCTGCCGCAGTGCCCGCCTTTCCATTAGAGAAGGGCCAGGGCTTGAGCAGCAGGCAAAGAAGCGGAGAGAAACAGGCAGGTGAGGGAAAGCTCAGCAGGGACAGAAAGCCAGGACCAGGAGTGTTGGTGACCAAGGGCCCCTGCACACCAGGACACTACCATAACAGGTCCAGGCACCTCAGAGCAGGTGCCCCATCCTCCCCAACCTCACCCTTCACTCCTCTTCCAGCAGGACAGCTGCTCTGAGAGAAGCCACTTTCTCAGTCCAGCCTAGGGCAGGACTAAGATCCTTCCGCTTGAGGGGAGCCCTGGGGACCTACCACCACGAGCACACACACCGCACCACACACAGACAGATGGATGGGCTCCATGGGGTTGGCGAGGCATGCGGTGACGATGAAATGGTGTGTGAGGGGAGCGGGCAGTGCTGGCCGCCAGGCGAGATACGGTCTTACCAGCTAACCCTCTGCAAAGAGGCCTGTTAGCCCCCTCAGGCTGTGCAGGAGATGGCAAAATCCTGACAGGTGTCCTCCTGGGGGAGATACCAGAGAGGTGGGCCAGTGTTATGAGTTGTCTGGCTGGGCCCTACCACCCAGGCGGGAGGCTCTGCTCACAAACTGGAATCTCCAACATTTCCTTAGCCAAGCAGTCAAGAGGGCTCCCAGCCTCTGAGGCAGGGCAAGGGGAGGGGGTGAAGAGGGGACAAGGTGGCTTAGTCACAGCCTCCTCCTTTACTCTGCCTCCCACAGACAGAGCTCCATGAGGGGAACTTCAGCCAGACCGTTCAGTCGGATCTTTCTGTCTCCCCAGGAAAGACAAGTTTGTCTGAAAGAACCCAAGGCTGCCAGCTGGGGCCTCAGCAAAGGAAAAGCAAACAAAAACCAAACCAAAGCAAATCAACTCTTAAAAACAAAAGTTTTATTACAAGCAGAATCAAAGAAGAATACTGGCTTAAATAAAAGGCAGGTGGGAGCCCCCTCTTCCAACCAGTCTCCTCCCCACCCCCCAGGGCCACTGCATGAGGACCCAGGGTCCTGAGGCTGGGAGGAGCTGGTTCTCCCAGAAGGGCCCTCTGCTGTGGCCACTTCCCAGCTCTGTGACCCACCGGTCTCTGGAGCAAGGAAGGACAAGATCTAATGACTTCCTATGTCACTTTTCAAGGGCTTTGGTCCACTTAAAGGGCCAAGAAGGAGTCTGGGGGTAATTCTCTATTTTTATAAGAAACTACAGCTTCCGGCAAAGGAGGGACATCCTCTGAGCTTCTGGCCCAGATTTAGGTCAACCTTCCCTCGCCTTTTGGCCCATCCTGCTCCTTCCTTCCTATTCTCTGGACCAAAGCCCCCAGTTGGCAGAAATACCTTGTCCTCTAGTCCCTGGCACTGGGTTCCATACTCAGAGCTCTGGGGAGGAGGTGTGGCTTGTGGGATGAATGGCAGCCGCTCCCCAAAGCCATCACCCCACCCACCACGCCCGGCCACAGCCTGTCTGGGCAGATCTTAGCTGGAAGCCTACCCTGGAGGCTGGGTGGCAAGGGAAGTGGTGGCAGAGTCCCCAGCTCCTGCCTTTAAAGAGGATGGGGTCTGAGCCCCAATGGGAGGCCAGGGGGCTCTTGTGACCAATGCACATGTTCCCTGCCCCATGGCTTAAGCTGCTCCTGAATCAAGGGGGACAGGGAAAAGGGGCAGCCCAGCGGATGTGGGAACCAGCCACACGCATACAAGGGCACACATGAACACACGCACATACACACACATTCACAGACAGAAGGTCTCTTGTAACAAACTTATTAAAATGAACTAGGCTTCCGATAACCCTTCACCTTGCACTACACATCATTTAAAAAAGGTTATGTAGAAAAGAGGTCTATAAAATTGTGCAAAATACCCAGCAATAATAAACCCGTTTCAAGTATTGCCAGCATGAGAATAACCCGTCTATGCCCAGCCCTGACTTGCGAGAGACATAGTGGGGTAGCCTGGGATCCTTTAGAGAGCCTCCACAGGCAGGGGAAGGGCCTTTCCTATGCACTGCTCAGGACTCTACAGGAGCTAAGGTTCTGGCTGCCTGGCTGGCTTCCCCCTACCCCCGTGGAACCCATCCTATTGGTCAACTCCAAACAAACAAAAAAACAAAAAGACCAAAAACCCAATAGTAGAAAGAACAATGATCATCATAAAGAGAATGCAGGAGCCCCCACACCAAAGCAGCCCATTGGCACATCATCTCTGTGGCCTGAAGTCCAGAGCTGGCTGCTCAACAGTCCTGTCTCACCAGAGGCCCCAGCTCAGCAAGGCCCAGGCAGTGCCCCACCTGGGAGGCTTCACACTCAGCTCACACCTTCACTCACACAGGGCTCGCCCTGGCACACAGAGACTTGGCATGGTCCCCTTGATGGCCTCCAGAGGCTCTGGCTCCCCTGTCATTCCTGCTACTGATCGGCTGAGAGACCTAGGGCCCATGGCTCTGGGAACCTGGGTTTGGGGAGCAGAGGGTACAGCCATGGAACAGTTCAGGAAAAGCCACGCAGAGTGGAAAATAAATATGAAAAGACACCAGTCTTTGGCAGCTCTGCTTCCCTTGGATGGAATGGGGAGGGTCCCAGCAGGTGTGGAGGGCAGCAGGTGAATACGGAGGGGTGGACAGGCCAGCAGGTGGCAAGTACTGAGCCGTGTTCAAGGGTGGCCTCCTACCATGCTGGCATCTGGCTTGGCTCCACAGGCTGGCTCATCGCTTCTGATGGGCGAGGGCAACACGGTATCAGACTGCACAAATCCCCTCCGGTCAATCAGGCTTCCAAAACACAAGGGCACAGTGATACATGAGGACCGTGTCCAGTGCCAAAGCTCTAGGCCAGGAGCTAGATGGCAGGGTCTGACTCTTGGCCAGGGAAAGACTGGTCCTAGCAAGGCTGAGGAAAGGGAGGCTGCTCTCCATCTGGGGCTAAGACACTCTCTCTGAAAGGCCTCTCTCTGTCTCTGGACACCTAGCTTCTGGCCACAAGATTTATTCACTGTTAATTCAAACTGACCCACCTGTCTGATTGGCTAACAAGAAGCCAGGCTGCAGGTTAAGGGAAAAGTGAAAAATAAGCATTTGGAAATAGTGAAATTCCTACTGTCCCTTCCCCACCAGGCAGGATAGGTCACAGGAACACT